TGGGTTCCATCGTTTTTATTTAAGACATTTGAAGGCCAATTTTCAAAAAATAAAATAAAAATGTCACTTTAAACAACCTTTTATGGGCAGCTGCAAATCACTGTTAGGAGAAAAAGTTTTTGGAAAAAATGGATATGATCAAGGAGATTAACTTGGAAGCGTATGTGTGGTTAATGAAGAATGATCTTGACAAATGGACATTGCACAGGGATGGAGGTAGGAGATGGGGCATGCTGACAATAAACAGTTCTGAGTCATTCAATGGTCTTCTTAAGTCAGCCTGGGGCCTGCCAGTTACTGCAATGGTCAGACTCACTTACAATCAGATTGTGCACCGATTTGTTACAAGATCAAAATTTTTCAATCAACTAGTACAACCAAAGCAACAATGGATGCCTAGACCATTCAAGATTTTTTAGGATAATCGAAAAAAGTCACAGCATCACACACTTATCAACTATCACCAACAAAGGGAAAACATATTTGAGGTGCAGACACATATGCATCATGGTCGTGGTGGTAATAAGCACATTGTAAAGGCATCACAAGGAAAATGTCAATGTGGTAAATGGCAATCATACCACATTCCGTGTTCTCATGCAATAAAGGGATTTGACCAAATTGGGTATCAAGTATGGGAGCATATGGCACCAGAATTCAGCGTGCGTAGCTACAAAAAAACCTACTCTGGATAATTCAATCCACTCGGCGGTGAAAAGTATTGGCCTGATAGTCCTTTTCTCATGATAGCAAATAAAAAATATTTACGAAAAGTGGGCAAAAATAAAATCACCCGTATACATAATGAAACGGATGTTCCCACAAGTACACTCACTCGCAAATGTTCAACGTGCAAACAAATAGGCCATGATAGGCGCAACTGTCCTTCACGAGCTCGAAACGCCTCATATGGTGGTAGTAGATAAAGAAAGATGTTTAATTGTGTTAATTTATTCTTGTATCAATTTCTATGCAACTTTTAATTCGTATTTTTGATCATCCTCGAGTCATGTTTATATTTTCAAATTTTTTCATTCACTTTTTTAATAAAAAAAATGCATACACAAAATAATAACTATATATAATTAAAATAATAATACTATTCACCCTCAAAAAAAGATACATACACAAAAATAATAACTATATATAATTAAAATAATAATACTATACACCCTCAAAAAAGATACATACACAAAAATAATAATATTATGTTCCACAACCCTTTCTTGAAATCCGTAGAACATCTCGCGGTCTAAGTCCTGTATGTCCATCCTCATCTTCAACGATTCGTCATTATAGATAATTCACTCTCCAAAATTTACTTGTTCTTGTGATAAAAATGAAGTAGGGTATTTTTCGACTATAATCAAATTATAATCAGTACTGTTTATACCCATTCTTTTATAAACTGATGAAAGAAATTTATGATATCGGACATTAATTGAATATTTAGCATTGTGTTTGGGAAGACAATTATAATAAACGGTATTTTCGTCATGTATAATTTTGCCATCCCAATAAATCGAAACTCTAAGTTTTGGTTTAGAAGCCATTTTTTTTTTAGATTGAAATGAACAAATATAGAAGACTTTATGTTGTAGGTGCTATCAACTATATTTGAACGTCCTCCTTAAATAGAGATTGGAGGATTTTTCAGAATAAAAAAATAAAAATACATAGTGTAATAATTTTTTTCGTTTTTATGATATGTCAAATCAATATAATTGTATGACAAACACTGCAAAAGCTTCATAAAGTGATCAAAACGTGAAAATATTCCTCTTTGTAAAACAAAATTTTTTCTTCCACTTTATAAAGTGTAAGAAAAAGTTCCACTTTACAAAGTGTAAGAAAAATTTACACTTTATAAAGTGTAAGAAAAAGTTCCACTTTACAAAGTGTAAGAAAAATTTACACTTTATAAAGTGTAAGAAATAGTTTCATTTTATAAAGTGTAGGAAATAATTCCGTTATATATTAAAATATACACGTTATGAGACTAACGGAAAACGTTTAGAATATTAGATAAAGTGAAATTTTTTCTTCCACTAAGCCTATTTTAGTTTCTTACTAAAGTAGTGGCTTATTTTGGTCACTTTTTTATTTTTGTGGCTTATTTAGGTTCCCAACTCCTCAGAAGGTCACTCAACTATGCACTTTTCTCTTAGAAAGTCACCCAACTTTCAATTCACTCAAAAGTCACTCAATTATGCACTTCTTTCTCGGAAAGTCACTCAACTATCCACTCTTTTCTCAGAAAGTCACTCAATTTATTTAATTATTTTTTAATTAAAATTTATTGATATTAATTGTTTATATAACAAATCAAAAATTTTAAAAAAATAAAAAATACCATTTAAATCATTTAGTGATCCACCAACCTAAGCCAATCCATTAAAAAATATAATATGACCCATTTTATTTTACCTTTAATCCTAAATATGACCTTACCTACTGAAAATCATTCCCTCTCTTTCTCCTACTGTGTAATTTTCAGTGCCATTTAAAAAATTATATGCCTTATATGATTATTTTTAATGCATACCAAAAATAATATGTGTTCAAATATGACCTTACCTACTGTGTCTGGCAGGTATAATTACACATCAGATGGAATTAAATATAATATGGCATTTAAAATGAAGGTCATATTATCCTAAATATAATATGGCACTGAAAATTACACAGTAGGTAAGGTCATATTTAGGATTAAAGGCAAAATAAAATGGATCATATTATATTTTTTAATGGGTCGAGTTAGGTGGGTGGATCACTAAATGGTTTAAATGGTATTTTTTATTTTTTTAAAATTTTGATTTGTTATATAAACAATTAATATCAGCAAATTTTAATTAAAAAACAATTAAATAGATTGAGTGACTTTCTGAGGAAAGAGTGGATAGTTGAGTGACTTTTGAGTTAAAATTCAAAGTTGAGTGACTTTCTGAGAAAGAAGTGCATAGTTGAGTGACTTTTGAGTGAAAATTAAAAGTTGAGTGACTTTTTGAGAAAAGAGTGCATAGTTGAGTGACTTTCTGAGGTATTAACTCAATTAATCAGCATACAAAACACAACTATATTTGATTTGATTTGATTTTGCATTGAGTTTTAGAAATCCAAACCAAATTGACATATAAATGTTACGATTTTTTTATATAGGTTTTCAATAGAAATATCTCTAAAAATATTTGTGTTTCTGTCAAGGATATAATATTAAATAGGAATATATAGTAAATCCATTTATATTTACTTTAACTAATGCTTAATTATGCTGTTCATTGTCAGTTTTTAATCAATGGTTGTTGAAATGCTTCAATCTCTTTATTTTTTTCATGTCCATGGCCAAGATATATAATATCATTATGCTATCGATTATTTTCGAAGCTACACTGAACATATCATTATATTGATATGTTGGAATCATCGCATTACCGATATGAGATTGCAGTGATTAAATATTGATCGTAATCACCACTTAACTTTAAAAAAAAACTAAAAATAAACTCAATAGTCCAAGTCACTTCCAAACACCTTGAGATTCGTATAAACAATCCAATGAAGTCATAAATCACCGTTTTGACCTATTAAAATCGTCAAAACTCAAATTTTTCAACCTTGCTAACAGAAAATGTTGAATTTGATCTAACTTTCTAAATTTCAAAACTGAAATTTTTCCTCATGATGGATTTGATCATATCAGAACTGATGCTACTCATTCTCACACATCATAAACCACTAAAGAAAGCTACAAGAAGGATCAAACATTGGGAAAGAGATCATAAGGATCGTTACAAATTGTTTGGCCATAGGTAGTGCCAGCAAAATGAGCTCAAATTTTGGTAACCCGTCCATAATTTAATGAGTTGGGTGAGTGACTTTTTATATGGGCAAAATATGGGTAAACTATGGGTAAAATATGGATTAGCCAAATGGGTTAAGCTTCTAACTTTTATTCACTCAAAATTCATGATATCACTAAAAATATTGTAACATCTCTTCCTTTTTATGTTCTTCTATGGTACTAATTATTTTTCTCTATAATTGAAAAGGTGAAGTCTTCGGCCCTCCAAAAATATATATTTTAAATGTACATTTATTTTGTTAATTATAATTATATTTTTTTATTTATTTAATTTTATATTGGATCATAAATAATAGTGTAAAATAAGCAAATCATGTATTAGTATTGACATTGCTTAAGACTAAGCATGTTTTAGTCCTAAAATGCAAATATTCATTTACTTTGGAATTAAAAATATTTTCCCCTTGTTATTACATAAATTTATTTTATATTGAAAAGTTACAGGATTTTTTTTTTGAGTTTTATGATACAATAAATTAAATGAAGCATTTTCAATATTTTTCATCTAAAAAAAGACTAAAATATTTTCTCCATGTTGAATTCCTAAGTAGAGTACTATTTATTCATGAAAATATCGGTAAATATGGGTAAACTAGTATTTTACCCAACCAAATTATTACCCAATCTATTTTTATCCATATCAAATATGGACGGGTTGAATTATTATCCATTTTATGCTGACCCATTTTCAACCCGCCCAAATTAACCCAACCCATCCATTTACCACCACTAGGCATAGGTTATTTTTGGACAGCATAAATATATCAAAAACATAACTTTGAAGGCACCTTTAAATTTTGCAAATATATATATATATATATATATTCAATGTGAAGGGTTTGTCCGTATATTGATTTTGCTAGTTACTATTATTATTGATATATTAAATTAGTGAATCTTTAGAAACTTGTGCCTATACAAAAGTTTATAATAACATGTCATTGCAAATATTTATTTAGAAAGGATTGTAGAAAGAATTATGATTTACCCATTTAGCAAAATTGTACAAGGGTGAGCAAAGTTTTGATAGTTCTCAATAAATTAAGCGATTTTCAAGTCTACGAAAAAAAAAAGGGTACAAAATTTTAAAATCCAAATTGTACGTTTAAAAAAAATTTCAACTTCAAATCAATGACCGCAAAAATTCCCCACACGCAGCAATTCAACTTGATTGTTGAAAGAAATCAGACAGCCATTTCATCAAGACCTTAGCTTTATCACAAGTTGGGTTATTCAAATGAAAAACATGTCGTTCCCCTTGTGTTTCCTTAATCTCCACTTCACCTTTCCATCCACATTTCTTCAATGCCTCATAGTATGTCCAACCTCTGTCTCTTATAAAATCCTTCTCTGCAGTGCATATCAGAATGTTGGAGCAAACAAGCTTGGATAACAAACTTGGATGTGCTGCTGGATTGCATTGAGGGTCATCGGTATTGGGATTTTCAGGGCAAATATACGACCAAATTCTATCCGGTTCATTGTTCCCGAAATAGGGGTGAATCAATGCCATTCCAACGAGGTTTAAGCTATCTCCAACTTCAAGTTTATCATCTTCATCTATACTTGCTCGCAGCATCATGTTATGAGCAATGTTGGCTCCTGAGCTATCACCTGAGGTGACAAAATCAATACATTTTCAGTAAATCAATCAATCTGCTCATGTTTATCAGCTTGGTTGAACTTGAAATAAACTTCAAAGACTTAAAAATACTTGATCCTCGTTGGCAAGTAAATACTTCTAACTTTGAGTATGCATATCCCCAACATCTTAACTCGTCTTTTATCTTGTCATTTAAGTACTCCAACTTACAAATGATCATTTAGAGACCTTTGAAATTTATGTCACATTTACATCGGGTGTCCAATAGTCACAGTAGTTAGAGTGTTTAGTTGTCCGTTGAAATCAAGTTGAAGCGTCTAAATGTACACTATCAAATTTGAGTGTGTGTTAATCTATTATGATATCTTCACAATTATCGGATCAAAACGTATTAAAATAATGCAACCTGATGAATAAAATGTAACTGAAACCCAAATATACAGAGAATTTGGGGGGACAATTGGGCAGGTTGGGATCAAATTTACTGAGTTAAAATTAGTCGAGACAACAAATGGGTAAAGGTCCTACCCAACAAAAATTTACTTGGGTCCAAACGGATACACTCAATTTTTACCAAGTTTTAATTATTTTATTTGTTGATTTAAAAAGATTTAGTATCTAAATGACATTTTTTCCTATGACATTTTAAAATTTAACAAAAAAAATGTCATTAGTCAATTTAAATTACATATCAATCCAATTTCTACTGAAATCAAATATATATAGCTAAAATGAATTGAACAAATTGGATTTGATTTCGTCACACCTACAACATCAAATATAAAGATTGGAAAATTTTAAACTAACAATTTAAGAAAGTCAATTGATTTTACCTGACAAAAAAACTCTGGAGAAATCAGCATAACTTTTCAGCCATGGTTCACTTCCCTGAGAGACCCATTTCATAACAACCCACGAATCATCATAACACGCAGGAATTTTGTGCTCCGGAGCTAATCGATACTCAACAGATACAGCAATTACATTAGTTTCTGCAGCTACAGAGTGGAGATAACTATCATAGTAAGTAGAAAATGCCGATTCAATCACAAATCCACCTCCATGGAAATACACCAGGAGTGGAAATTTCTGGTCATTTTGGGTTATTTTTGGCAGGTAAAGGCGTACCGTAACGTTGTTCTCCGATACGATGACGATATCTTTAGATCGAACACCAGTGACGGAATTATTGGAAGGAGGGGAAAAATCATGTTTTCGATACCTTTCGATTCGGCCATTTTTGTAGACTTTAAAAAATATTGGAACATCATAAATAACTTGTGATGATTCTGGGTTAGTTGAATCCATTGTTTGTATGAAAATGGAGATGAATGGGAGTACTGAGCAGAGATGGTTTGGTGATTTGAAAGGGGACAATAAGGCGGTGGCTACCTGCTGCACATTGTAGGCTGTGTAATATCCAAAGTCAAATATTTTTTCTACAATTCAATCAATAATGCAAAGATCTACTGCCATGTGTAGATTATGATGAATTTTTTAGAAAACTTATTTTTTAATAATTAAAGAAAGAAAAATAATTTTTTTTCGCGAGTTTCATTGCTTAAACTATGTTTGTCTTTTTTTAAAACAAATCAACATATATGTGTTAAACACACTTCAAATTGGAACCCCTAAACCATTGAGAGACACCAAAGTTTACCAAAATAATCAAGTACTTAAGTGAGAGTCCTTCAAATTTTAAAAATTAGCCAAGTCACAAATAAATAAATAATAGTCCTTCTGGCAACTTTTAATTGTTATGTTGCGTTTTTAAAGTCAATTTGACTAATTTTCAAAGTGAAATTAGATTACATTAATTCGATATTTTGAACAAAAAATTTTGATATTCAAAAACTATACGAAAAGTACTATAAATTGCAATTGTTTACATATCAATGTGATGAAAAAATACAACGTAAAATGTTAGTCAAAGTGTTTATCATTTGATTCTATAAAAGGAAATCAAGACAATTAAAAATGGACGGAGATAGTATCAAAAGCTAAAAGTGACAAATAAATAATTAATATCAAAATATGTCCAAATTTGATTGTTTCAGTCAATAACTATCGTAGTTATTTCTACAACTTCGAAAAAAAATTAAAGAAATAATTCAAATATTTGGCTGATAAAAACAAAAGTTGTCCTAACAACTACTTAAGTTGTTTGACCGTTGTGCTTAGTTGTTGGTCGATTGATTAATCGTTGGAATAACTAGTGCAATTGTGTAATAACTTATATAGTTGATGGAAGAAATAGTTGGACAATTAAAGAAGTTGTTCTAACAATCTACTTGTCACTTTTATTAATTGAAAGACTTAAAAGGTCTTTAGTGTTTGTTATATTTATTTAATTGAAAACTTAAAAGACATTTTCACCTTTTTCTTTTTAATTAGGTGGAACCATCTTTAAAAAAAATGAAGCCACTCACAAGATTGCAAAACGGAAAGACATAATTGCAAAAAGATTTTTCCCTTATAGCCACGTTAAAGGCTGAAGTAATAGGTCCTAAATAATCATAATTCAATGTGTAATATATCAATTCAAAGTTTAATTTATTTTTGCACCTTATTGTGCAGGTTCTGATACAAACATGATTAGCACAATTTATGGTAGACCTATAACCCAAGATACTTGATGATACAAAAAGAAGTTTAAAAGGATCTTATTGGGCACCAATGGAAGGGGTTCCTCGTATGGATGATAGATTGGAGTGTGGAAGGATCAACGGAGGAGGCAACAAGCTGCCCACTTTCGCGAACTCAAAGTCCATCGCCAAAGTGAAGGTTCCATCACCCAACTTGTCAAGGCAAGCCACACAATTCGGTCAGCTCAAGGCCATCACCAATTAACTCCATCGTCGTGTCGCCAAGTGGATAAATTCAAGAAGAGGAGATGATGGAAGGATTAGTCATTTGTGGCTACATTTTAAATAGTTTGAATAATTCACATTTGAGCTATTTGTGTAAAAAAAAAAAAAACTACCTTTGTAAGAGTCATCCTATAAATAGAGGCCTTAGCCTCTTTTTTTTCCTTAGATTATTTGACATAAAGAATTGAGATATTGATATCTTGTAGAGGGTGGAATCCATAATATAGAGTAACTTGGTGTAGCTTAGATTGGTCTCTCAGAACATTTTATGATTGATTCTGCCTCTTCTTTAGTCAAGTCATTCCCGTTGATAAATGTGTAAAGAACAAAATATGTTAGTGTAAGTATGTACTCCCATCATACTTTGGTATATCCCACATCTTAAACCTTGAGATGGATTTTGGCATAACCCTGGAGACTATGTGGGTCCGCCCCTGCTTAGGGGTCGTTTGGTGTGATGGATAAGAGAAGTTATCATGGGATAAAATTTTAGTGTCTCTTAATCCCTTGTTTGGTTGCACAGGATGAGATAAATTATCTCCAGATTAATAATTAGTACTGCGATAAGTTATCCCTTCCTGGAGTGGATTAGTAATCACAAGATAACTTATAGTAATCGCATGATAACTTATCCTGGAAAAAAGTATGTATAATACAAAAATATTCCCTTAAACTCTCTTTTATACACTATTTTTACATTCATGTATATTAATATAATTTTTAAGAACTATAATAACATTCACAACCTTAATTAATCGATGTTTTTATGATAATATATTTTTCTATAAACAATTACATCTTATAAATACAAATTTTATTTATGAATATATTATAAGTTGAATTTATTTGCCTAATTTTTATGTTTATTTATATTTTCATTTTTCTTAAAATATTCACTCAACTACTAAATTACATATTTTTAATTAAGTAGTTTATTACTCACTTAAAATTATATTTTATGTATAAATTTAAAGGTAGATAACTTTAATAATAATTTTTTTTAACTTTGATAAACTTAAAATGAAAGTTTATTTTTAAGCTAAATAAGATGGGAGTTTTTCTTTTTCTTTAAAGAAAATCACTAAGTCTCCATATTTGACTAGTCCTTTTTCTTGTAGGAAAAAGTTTATGACTCTATAAAGAGCCTCATTTGTAGGGGGAGAATTTGTGAGATATAAGTATTACATTAACACTTGTGTGAACCTCTTTGTATTCCGGTATTTCGAGTGAATTGTGTGAGGTTATTTCTCTATACTCTCTTTTATATAGTGGTTCCTTATCTCCTCTTGTGATGTATGTAAGTCGACTGACCGAACCATGTTAAATGTTTGTCTCTTTTGATATATTTCTGATTTGTCTTCTTACTCATGCTCTTTTGATGTTTTCTTTACTAGCTTAGCATGACACCTAAGTATTTCGGTCCTCACAAAATTAGTGATTATGGACAATTTTAAACATTACAATTTTAACTAAAAAGGAATTAGTTTTTTAAAAATAAATTATTTATTTCTTAATGGGTGTAAAAGTCGACCAATATGTTAGGGCAATTTAATCTAATGATATTGTTGAAATATAGTCCACAACTTTTGTGTTTTGATTTGGTTTTCATTTATGTGATTTATGTGAATGAAGTTTAGCCACTAAAAAATTTAGAATAGATTTATAGGAAGCACAATTTTATAAAAAGAAATGTTGGTCATATGCCATTGAAAAAACAGATAAATAACATAACCAAGATGAAAGCATATTCATCAAATTCAATACAATACATAATAATTTCATATACAATTATATATATATATATATATATATATATATATATATATATATATATATATATATATCAGTTCAATTCAGTAATTGGTATCATTGCATTTTATTTGTGAAGTTCAAATGATTTTACCTCATGTTTATGTTTTACTTTAGTTGAGTTATATTTCAGCCTTTCAGTCCAATTATTATTTCACTCAGCCATATTACATACTCGTACATTCAAACTACTGATGTCATTCGACCTGCATCATTTTATGATACAAATACAGGTGTTCGAGATTATCAACATACATTTCGTTGAGATCACCCAATCACTCGTCAGCTTTTGGTGAGGCCTCCTAGCTTTTAGAGGACTCCAGACTTTAGTCACTTTTAGTAGTCATTTAAGGTTGTGGTGTGTCTTGTCTCAATGCCTATTTTAAAACAGTAGGGGCTTCATAGATTGACAATACTTGAGAATTTTTTTCAGTATTTTCCTCTCCAGATGTTTTGCTTATAAAGAAGCTATATTTATTGCATTTAGTACTTTTAGATAGTTTAGAGTCATTATTTGACTTAAAACGTTTTTTCATTAGTATTTTTAAACTCATAAATGTTGAGTAAGTCTTCCGCTAAGCAGTCAGTCAGGCCAAGGGTTCGCTTAGGAACCAACAATGGTTCTTGAGTGTCGGCCACGCCCCAGGGTGTAGGCTCGGGGCGTGATATTCTCCTACCTAGTTAGAATGTCATAAACAATAATATTATCGAATAGTTATCTACCTTGACCCAATTACTGAAAGAATAAATGAAGAACAATATATAAAATTTTCTTCTTGTATTTCTAAATGAATAAAACTATACAATTAGGTTGTATTTATACAAGTAAGTTGACATGTAATGGTAAACAGAATATTCTCAAGATCAAATGGAAAAGGAAAAAATATCAAAAGAATATTTACATGTCAAAATTAGAAAAGGAAAAATAATAACTCTATATCTCTTATGTATGTGTAGAATATATGAAAATAAATCCAACAGCCTCCCTCAAGTTGGAGGGGAGGTAGAAACCCCCAACTTGCCTAAAAGTTGATGATGCACGGGTCTGGTCAAGGACTTGGTAAAGATGTCAGCCAGTTGTGAAGAAGATCTCACATAAGATAAAGAAATTAAGTCGGTGAGATATTGTTGACGGACGAAGTGACAGTCAATCTCGACATGCTTTGTCCGTTCATGGAAGACTGGATTGTTTGTGATGTAAATCGCAGTAAGACTGTTAGAGTGAAGTGGGCAAAGAGATCGGAACTGAGAGATCATCAAATAGGTGAAACAACCAAGTAAGCTCGGTTACAACCCTTATCATAGATCTATACATAGCTTCAGCAAAACTGTGAGAAATTGATGTTTGTTTCTTAGATTTCCATGAAATAGGAGAAGACCCGAGAGAAATATAAAATCTACTCACTAATCTTCGTGAATCTGGACAAGTATCCCAGTCGGAGTCACAAAAGGCCATCAATTTGAAAGAAGCAGATGCAAACATAAATAGATCAAGACCAGGATCTTTGAGCAAATAACGAAGAACCCGTAAAGCAGCTGCAAGATGAGGTTCATGAAGATCTTGCATATATTGACTCAGATGTTGCACTGTAAAGGATAAATCGGGCCTTGTATGTGTGAGATAATTGAACTTACCTAACAAATGCCTGTATAAAGTAGGATCTTTTAT